ATTGGTTTTATTGTCGGTGCCGATTTTTTTTCGCAAGCTTACCTCAAGTTGCCTATTTCCATCTCCTGTTGTCGCAGCTATTGTTTCAGAATTGGTTTGGGTTTATTTCTTCCCTGTGTTTTTCCTCACCACACCCATGCTTTCTCGCACTACTGCTTCCCCTCTAAACGTGTTTCAGTTTCACTAATACCACTTCTGTCTGCATTTCTCTACCAACGCGTCTCGCATTCGACCAATGAATACATCACACCACCACCTCATTCTTTCCCCTTCCCAAAACCAACAAAAACCAACAAACAAAATCAAATTGAATGCATACAATAAAAGACTCTTTGTCTATTGACCCCTCAGGTAAGCGAAGTGTTGCACCATTAGAGTTGAATCATAGTTGCGTGTTAGTTTACTGTTCGAATTGGTGTCTTTTCTGTGTGTCTTCTTGTGTTTGTGTGTGTGTGTGTGTGTGGGTGGGTGTGTATGTGTGAGTGGGTGGGTGGATGGGTGGGCTTACGATATCTCATTTGTGTTCCTTTAATTGTGTTTGTGTTCTTTTTTTTAATGATCGTGGTTTTTGGCTCGTAGAGTATTCGAACAAACAGCACGGGGTCACGGTTGTCATGCGATATTGTTCGAATAGAAATGGTGATCCTTTTTACATCACTCTGATGCAATCTCACTAACTCGTTCATCATATCCTGCTCGATCGCTATCCCCGCACTCGTAACACAAAATCCTACACAATAGAATTTTCGCTAAGGTGTCGATACCCATGGTGATAACTACATGTTTTTCTGCATGCCGTAAACATATTTCCTAGCCCAATCGGTCTTTTTCCCGTTTGCTATTTGCACATGAAAGTATTTGGTGTCCACGTCCTGGCTTGGTGTGAACTGTTTCACGATACCATTACACTAGCACAACAAAACGCCCCAACTTGGGCTCCGTAAAGTTAATTTGGAATATTCTCATGTAGTCAAACCCAGTTGTAGTTTGAAGTGATGCAATCTAGGGTCGCGTGACGGAGAATTTTTCAAGGTCAGTTGGATGTTTAATTTCGGTAGTTTGATATCCACACGACATCTGTTTTCTGTTGAGTTCTGGCAGTCCTCACGAATGTCGAGGTTGCTGAGCCTACCTTCAGGCTGGCGGGGTTCAGTGAAATCACTCCACTAGACAATTAATCATTGTGATTTTCATTGCGGACAATGAGCAAATGAATGAATCATTTGAAATGTGGGACGCACAGGAAAAGGGGGCCACAATAGGCTCTAAGATAGTTATTTTGAGCTCTCAAAGCTAACGGATCCAATTCAAAAACGTTGATCAGTAACATATTGAGCTCTCTGGCCTCCATCCGCCTTGTGGGTCTTGTCAAAGCAACGAATGTACGCTTTTATTTGCCGATTCATCTTTTATACTGATTGAAATTCATCGAAAGACGCATTTGAAGTGACCAAGAAAGTCTTTATGAATGAAAGAATAATGGCAAATGATTATTCCGACGGATGAATTAGTATTGTCTCTTGTTTTAACACTCCTCAGTGGTGTATTTTGAAGCATCTCTGAAAATAAACGAAATCGTATCATGACATAAATAATGTGACGGTGCATTTTTGGAGAAGCTATATGATACCAAGTCGATGGGAGCTGGTATTTCCGTTGATATTCAGTTTTTTCCTAGCGGTTCTGATACACACTTGTCAGCACTGTTTAACACAAGTGAAAAGCGATTCTCAGAACATAAAGATGTCTTGTACATCACTTCCGTGTTGTAAGTGGGTTTTTGGAGCACCACCTCGATCCTTGGTTTTCAATCCGATCGAACAATTGTGAGGTCAATTCCAGAAGAAGATGAATCAGTGACGGAAACACAACTATTTAACAAAGTTAAACTCTGCTTTAAAAGTGGCGGATGACGGTACGTCAAGCGGTTTATGGCGAGTATAATTGGAGAGGTGAATGCTTTCTTTGTCATCCAGTTTGTTGAGTGAGTGTTTAATTGCGAACAGTTCTTAATCAAAGCCAGATTTTCCTAAATTTTGGAATGAAGATAATTTTTTCACTATTTTTATCACTCACAACAACCGTATTCTTTATCTCAATTACACTACGTACATATCACTTCGACCAATTCATATGAACTGTCAGAATCTGGCGGTAATGTTTGAGTTGTATTCGCACAGTTTATGTTCCATTTTATAGCATCGTATATATGTACTTCCGAGAAACAGCTACTGCACATTATGGAATATGTTCGCTTACTTGTGTCACTGTCAACGTATGTTCGAGTTATTATATCATGACCGGAATGTTTTGCGTTCACCCGTTCCAATGGGGTCTTTTTGTTTACCGTTATTCATGGTTGAATAAAATCATGACTGTAACCTTAAGTGTTAAACTATGTATCTTCTTTTGATCTGACCACGGACTAGAGAAACTTCTTTTTATAATCAGCGATAGAGAGAGAGACAGAGCGAACTTGTTGTCCATTTTTCCTCCTTTTTTGCCTTGTTTCAAACTGCTTCAGACGTTTGATCGTCACTCCTGGCTTTGACTTGAGATAATTGTTCGAGTTCGTTTTAGGTCTTAAAATAGATTACCGCTCTCGAATCCGGCACACAAACACATGCACACCATGCGGTTGTTTCCTAGTCTAACTCAACACATGTACACACACACATTTTGAACCTCATGCACCAATGTTGCCCAACAGTTACCACTTCTGTGTTACCGCATGACGTTTGTAACACTCGCACATGAATCCAGTCATCACTCCTATCATTTTCGTCACCTCATTCCGCCCCTATCTGTATATCACACTACCGCACCCCCACCATCTACTCGATCATCAAAAAATCTAACTCAATCAGCTCAACCGAATCTGTTAGCTCGTCTGGTACGTCGCCGATCCACCATGGGCAGTTCCGCGCCCGCTGTAGAAAAAGTAGCGGTTCCGGACGACACCAACGGGAAGAAGACCGAACAGAATAAGTCGGACGCAGTTGTGTCTCAGCTTCCGGATGAATTCATCGAGACGGGCAAACCTCGATTGGGTGAATGGACTCGGATCAAAGTGAACATTGTCGAAAGTTACGAGTTCAAGGTTAGTGTATTTGGTGCTAGTGTGTGTCTGCATGTTGAATGTGAAGCGAGACGGAGTGGAGGTATTGAAATACTTTTGGAGTGATTAATCTTTCTTTGAAAGTAACGATTTGTCGTTGTGAGAATCGTTCCATATTTTCTTCTGGTTGCAACATCATCTATCAGTTTCACTTTCTGTTTCGCATTTTACTACCAGAAGTCGTATCCTAAACTGAAAGTTCAGTGAATTAGATATTTAGAACTTTACCGATGCGTTTGAAAACAAAACAGAAATCTTTTCCGTCATCCTCGCAGTTCTACTTAGAGAATTCAAAAGATTCACTTGCAATATATTCGATTGAGCGTTATAGATGTATAACTCATAACTGTCTGCAAGGAACTAATTTCTGACATCAGGAAACTTACAGTTGTATTGCATCGTGTGCTACTTTATTGTTATTTTTTCACATTTTTGTGAATGTATTTAAGGGTGGCTGGGGGATTTTGCAACATCTTTGTCAATATTTTGGACTCCGAGCCATAGCTCTTAGGATTTTTAGAAATCACTGCCCTTTCCGCCGGAAACTCGACTAATGCCATTTTAGTCGAACAATACCTCAATTTCTGTGTCCACTTGCCAGGATATGGACTCATCGTCTGCTCGTGTTGCTATCGCTTATTAAAAACCAGCAGTTTGAGGAATGAATGGCGGTGAACATGTGTAGTACGTGCTCAATCCACTGAAAACAGTCTTCTTGTCATTTTTCCCTCGCAATCGGCATTCTTCAACCGTCTTTACTTGCACGAAATCGTTGAGTAACACTTCACCTTGAGTACTGGCGAGAATGTTTGGCTTAAATGCAGTGCTAAGCATCAAGTAAGCTGGTGTTGTACATCTGTCATTTATGAATCCGGGAAAAGACAGACAGATAGACAAAACCCGAGCAGAATTTCACTGGACCGATTAGTGATGATCGTTTTCAGATCGAATGTTGCTGATTGATTGGGTTGAGTATGTGCTTGAGCTTCTGAACTGTGCTGTTCCTTTAACAGTCCGATACAAAGGGCTCTCATATCAACAGAGACATCGGCTTAGATACGCCAAAGCTTCTTGTTGTAGCGAAACCATTCCTAATGGTGAAGATGTCACCATTACATCAAGTTAAAACCAGTAGATCATTCGAAATTCCCTCACAGTTCCACGTGATGCACACGTCTTATTTACGGTGCAATTTTTTGACGAAGTGTTTGGATTTACATGGATCAAACTTTCACAAAATACGATTTTAACTTAGTGGAATCACTGTTTTGATTAAAAAGTATCGAATGACAAGAATGGAAAAACATGCAATGCATTGAAATTGATTTGACTTGTCCAGACCGGGAACAATGTCAAGTACGTGATCAAAACAGACATTCAGACCAGCGGGAGGCCCAGTGGAATAATTCATTTAACGAAAAGTCAAATGCCCCCGCGTTGTGTGCGCGATCCCTGTTGTGGTTTTCATTCCGGTCAATGGGCGACACTGTTGGTCAAGCGGTGTGGGTCATCACCACCACTTCAAACGAAATAACCACTGTCACTTATCTCAAGGTGTACCTCCAGATGCTAGTGTGATCCGGCATCTCTGAGAATTGATTGTTCCAATAACTGGTATCTTTTTAGCTATTTCATGTGATTTCACTATCACATGCGGGCCGATCTTTAACTGTCCTTGTCCGTTTATATATTCCCCTTGTGTTAGGTGTTTTTTTATTTGTAATTTTCCAACAGAAAACGTTAAGCAGTTGTCTGTCCTTGTTGGGACTCGCCCGTGCTCGTTTTATTTCTGTGCTGGAGTAAATATACTCTTTGCAACCTTAGCTTTAATGAATTCCGTATTTTTCTTTCTGAAACTGATTTGAACATTCCAACCTTCCCTTTACTGCAAAAGCGTCGCACGAAAGTTTATGTTTGATGGTTTTCAAACTGAAACTGGAACACACTCTCAATGTTGCCCCCCCCCCTCTCGGGATTAAGCACATTACACAAACGCGTGTATCTTTGTAACATTAAATGGAAATGGTAAAAAGAATGCATGGACAATTAATGGGGCCTTACGTTGAATGTGGTAACGGTGTAGCTCACCGAGTAATGTTTGAAGCTCTCAAACCGGCCCGCCAACAGGAGCACATAATCAATACTCACCATCAGTGAATACCAACATAGACGACACAATCTTCCCACCGTCACACGCACACAGTTTATTCACGAATAAATTAATTATTCTATTGCTTATTCTCAATACAATGGAGTAACATATGGTCATATGTATCGTGATTGTACAGTTATTATAATCGCCCAGGTTGAAAAAATTGTCCACGTATGTCTTTGTGTTGAATCCGAAATCGGATGAAACTTTTCCGTTCTCCCTGACCACCACAATACAACATTCTCTCGGCAAATGTATGTCCTGCTGTTGATTTCATCGTCTTCTGTCAGGCCGCATTGATTTCGATTTTCCTCGATTGGTGGATCCAACCTCCGTTACATCAGTCTGATCCACGAGTGGACTTGCGTTGTTCTGATGGTGAATAGTTTGCCGTGCTCTTCTGTTTGTATCCGTTACCAACACCTGATAAAGATACAGGAATGCAGGTTAATATTTTTTTCCTTTTGTTTTTCGTCTGGTTTTCTGTTATATCCCTAGATTATTTTAATGAATAATGATGAAATTCACTTTTGGGTCATCCTGAGACAGTGAGAAGTTAGTCGTTCGTTTCACATGAGGGCGTGGCCGGATTTCGCCTCGGAATTAGTCTATCGATCTGTTTGCCTTGGTTCTCTTCTAAAACCGGACGACAGTCAGCGGTCCTCCCATCACCCATATGTTCGTAAGAATATATTTTAGTGCATGCAACTATCGCCATGTAAAGTATACATCTATTCAAAGTTTGAGTGCGGAAATGACTGTTCAGTGCCCTGAACCTGAAGAGTTCTTTTCCGGGTTCTCGTTATTAGTTTGTTTGAGGTGACAGGTTGCCCCTTCTGAGCTTGCACACCATTAACCAAATCATTTGCTTTTTCGGGCATTTTCGAGCTACCCAATTTTCGCTCCCTTATCACCTCCCCCTACTGCGAAAGTTCCTGGACGTTCCGGAGCCATTGAACGTGACCTAGTCCGACTCCTCCCTTTCTCATATCTGTCCCTTTGTCATAGAGGCACGTTTGTCTCTTCATCCGTGACCTCTAATAGGCGCACACATGCGCGTGCGTCCACTTGGGCGTTTCTTTCACCTTTTGGAAATTTTAACGAATTTCAATAGTACATATAATAAAGGTGTGTGTGTGTGTGTGCATATGTTTAAGTACTTCTTCCTCTATTTCTCTATCTCAGTTCTCCAATTATCCACTTGTGTGCCCCCCTCCGGCCAGTCTTTTGGCACTATAGCAACGAATGATATGGGGGTGAGGTGTTGGGTAGAGTCAAGATCGTTGATGCGGGTGCTTTTCGGGTCGAAACTGACCCAATTCCAGGTCTCACAGGGATTGGGCAATCCAAGCGATCGTGATTCCGATTCCGAGTAGGGAATAAATGAATCTTTCGAATCCGTATACGAAGTACACATTTAATGGGCGTGCGCCAGTGGAGCCATTCAAATGTTTGGTCATTGTACAATCTCATCTTGAGTAGTACTCGACCATATAGTGGTGGTGGTGGTGGTGGTGGTGGCCATCATGTTTGTCAGCGTGAATTGATATTACTTGGATAGTGATCAGAATCACTGCCATAATCACAATAGCACGTGGTTCGTGTTTCTACTACCAAAAGACAGGCGCCAATAACCCGCGTTTCATAAGTTTTACGTCAAACCGTTGAATGCGGGTTTGCGATTCACCACCATACGGCAATATTGCCTGTGGATCTTAGTTTGTGTGTGTGTGTGTGTGTGTGTGTGAAATCACATGAGTATGAAATTTTTCATACAGATATTGGTCAAGTGGATGGATATGTGCTTCCCTTAGTTGTTATTTCATTTCAGCTTGAGTGTAGGTTGAGAGAGTCTGATTCGCAAAGTTCTAATGATGGTGAGAAGAACAAAAGTTCATTTTCGTTTCCGATATCAACTATCGTGATGTAATTCGAGTACACAATCTGTACAATCTGACGACCTATACCATTTGGCCAATTGTTATAACCTATCGTCAGATGTGATATAACCCATCGCCTATTACGTCAGTAGAAAGGGAACACCCCGGTGACCGGAAGGAGAACTATGCAATTACGCCAACAGCATACACCCCAAGGCCAGACTTGAGACGACAGAGGAGACAAAATAAGGTACAGTTTACAGGTCAGTTTGTATATTTTGCTCAACCCAAAGACAAGGGCGAAATGGCAATTCTAATGAACTACTCTGTTTATACATATTTGAGCAGTCGGTCAAAGTGACCTTCGGAAGTAAGTCGAAAATCCAGAATTCCAATTAAAACTGATCACTCAGGATTGAATGCTGCTAGTGATGTGGCTTTTCTGGGCATAAAAATGAATATTGAAACCTTATGGATAGAAATTGTAAAATAGGAAAGAAGAAGAAAAATAGTGAACTCTAAGAGGAAAAGTTCATTTTCCCTATCACCACCATTCCGCTTTTTATGATGAGTACGTTGTCCCAATTTTCGCTGAGAAGAGGAATATTCAGACCGCTTTGAAGACGTCAAACTACGCCAGCAAGTTGACCTTTCTCCACTGCACAAATCAAAATCTACTGGCCCAGTAAAATCAATTGCGCAACTGCCTTTACTTTCTCCCACTGATAGGAATGCGAAGTGTCCTACGTTTGCGTACTTTTTGTCCTCTTTCATTGTTCACACGGGCTCTTTTAACGTCAGCAGTATTGACTTCCCAGTCACTCGACAATAATACATAACCAACTTGTGATTGTGATCGGATGAACTATACTACAAGTCCGTTTCCGGATGAAGCACGTATTTGTATTGCAGTAGTCGAGTATAACAACCTCAGTACAACATGTCTCCTAGCCAACTTTTATTCAAAAGAAGTGTGTTATGAAACAGTGGCTAATGTCCCGATAGAAGTCTCGTCTACCCCGCTCTCCGTGTGATTCGGATAAAAATGAAGCAAGTGAGTGCTGGATGGAGCGTAATTCCGGATTACCTTATTGTTGAAAGACGCAATCGTGAAACGGTTATTTCGCATCCCGATCCTGGATGCTTGCAAAAAGTTAGGCAATGAAGCAAAAGTTTAATTGGAGTAGAGCACAATCGTTCAACGTTAACTACGTTTCGGCAAGATAATTTCGATCACGTCTCCTCCCGTTCTCATCCATTTCGATGTTCGCTGTCTTCGCTGTCTCGACACTTTGGTAGTGAATTTTCGTCATGAATAACAGTGAAGAACCTGCGTTTTCTATTAGAACGATGGTAGATTAGAAGAGATAATCCAACGATGCAACCGGTCAAAACCAATTGTGTTGCGATGTGTAAGGCAATCGCAGTAATGGGTCTAAATTAGCAACATTCCGATTAGGTTAGATATGACATGTTTGACTACCGATTTCTCAAGCAACACTTTGAAAATGAAAGCTTTTCCTGGCATACATGTTTACGTTTAAGGACACCAGTGTAATCGATTTGTGAACAATTCTGTGATTGTATATGGGTACATTTTCCGCTCACAGTCTAAGCATGGTGTGCATAGTGTTCAAGATTCTGGTAGGTTCAATTACACACAACATTGTTGTCAACGGCTTTGAATTTTCAAGCTTCGAATATTTTCTAACAAGATAACGTGCCAATTCACAACTCGCATCTAATCGGAAACAGGTTCTATTTCCGCATTATTAAGGCGATAGAATCTAGGTAGGTAGCCTAGATCTTTAGAAATGAGTAAACTGAGGAGTTCTTGCTTAGATCCTTTATTTAATTATCAAAATGATGCTGAAAGGTAATTCTGATGCTTTATTCAGATGTGAATACATTTTCAAAATGCAAGGGGGTATCAGCCTTTATAACAATAAATTTCTACTCATAACCAAGCTGTTACCTAGTGAAAAACAACTAAAACTACACAATTTTATTATTGTTCTCGGTCGATATTCATGTTATCTGATAAAGTGGTAGACCTGTACAGCACATCTCTNGGAGATAAGTTTGGTCTCTTCGTAACAGATTTTCCCAAATCCATTTTGTTGTTTGGTTTCGGTCATACCCAGTTTTTGATGCTACACGACAACCGGTGTAGCAGACGTCCTCATTTTCACGAGACGTGACCTAGACTACGAATTTGCATAACCAAACGTTGAATTGTTCGAACCACAGGGTTCTAACCTCCTTTATGCATGTATTGAGCAAGGAGTTGTATCATGACGCAACACCGTAATCATCACATGTGAATATGCGCATAGCATCACAGCTCGATGCCAGCCTAACGGCTAAACTGCAGTGTGGAAGTGAATTTGAACAAAAAATAATTTGTTCTCCGGGCTAGATGCATCTGAGGGTGTACTTGCGTTCCACAGGGCATACCGGATTTCCGGTATTCTATCGGTGCATGTTTATATGTATTTCTCATTTGTAGAGATAATTCCTATGGTGTATGTGTGACATGATGCAGGAGTACGGCAGATCCATCGTTTTATGCAGGCATTTGAAGCATTAGTTGATATCGAGTGATGATGGGTGTCACTTTTGCATCGGGATTCCCACTCATCTCATCCAGCGTTAGTGTTGCATTACATTTTTTATTTGTACCCTTTTTCGCATTCAGATTGCTTTTTTTACGCATCGAGCGTTTCGCACAGACATGAATGGTAACCTACCAATAAAGAACAAATACTCTCAAACCTAGAGTACGTATATCTATAGGTGCGTATCTTTTGGTGTGCGCATGTGTGCAGATAATGGACAACGGTTTCTACCATCTAATATACGATAATTGGCCATTCATTATACCACGCTGCAATCTGTGCCCTAAAATATGCCCCGATGCAGCGGCCTCGTGCAAGGATATAAATAAATCTCTCCATGTCAAAATAGTGAGCTGTTTTCACAGGGTTGCAGTTTTTCGGTGCGACATCTTGCTGGATTCCTTTAGGTGTACTTTGACCTCATACAGCTTTTGAAAATAATCAGTTTTGTCATACGGCTAGACAGTAATTTTTCATCTTTTGTCTTCCTCATGTTTTCGGTACATTGGTTGACCTAATTCAGTTAACCACTAACAGAAATTCTTGATCCGTGCATGCGGTAGCTGTCACCAACGCACACACAGGTTCCACATCCGATTCCCTACATCATGCCATCCTGGTGGCTGACATGTTTATGGTTCCCCAGCTATTACTGGTTCTATCCTGCTTGTCATTCGAAGCTTTATCGATCGAGCATTAGGTATACGTCCACATAAACCATTTTATTCCGTGTTCATTCCATATTAGAGTATTTGATAAATAAAGAAATGCCTTTTACTTCCGATGTCTCCTCACCGCTTGTCCTTTCCGGTTACACAGCACATTTCACACCCACGTGCATAGGCAACACTATTTCATTGTATCCGGGAAAATAATCGCGAGGTTTCT